CTAACAGAAAGTTGTATCACAGCAACAAAAAAAGGAATTTGGAGATTAGGAGGAGGCTGAGAGCAACAGAAGGTACTTTTTTTTTTTAAGAAGAACTCTGGGATAGGCAAAAAAACACCCATTAGTACACTCCTCTACACAAAACACCAAACAGTTAATAACATTTTGAAAATCCTTACCATTTAGGAGAAAAGTCTAATTGAATTGTTATGACCTCATCTCTGTAATTCAAAAGAGAACAGCATCTGCTGTGCCAAGGAGGAGATGTAACAGCTGGGATTACTTCATATCTTATCCTGTCTCTCTGCAGTAAAAGGAAACTACAGTTCCCATCAACCACAAAGAATTGTAGTAAATGTGGGCGGGTACACTAGGCCTGTACATGTTGAATGTGTCTGAGAATCTCAGTCCACCCACCACTGCAAGTGGGGCTGGATACATCACTGTTTCCTGAAGATAGAACTACAGAAGGGATGTGCTAAGACCAGTGGCTGGGGGAATAGGAGGCATTGCAGCCACTGGTCTTACAAATTGGAAACCAAAGAACAGGCTATTTCAGAGCAGTTACTGAGTTAACCAGAATTTGGATGACATGTTCAATGAAGGTAGGAAATCAGCAACAAGGACATGTAAAGAAGTGGGGTGGTTTGCCTGGAGTTCTGCTTTAAGTTAAGATTACATTTCTTGAATTGAATATATATTTTTGGAACCAAAATTTAGTGAAACATTGATCAGCCACATTCTTATTTTACTCTAATTTCTTACTAAATTGTAACTAGAAGGATGTGTCTTTTTAAGCAATAACTGCTTCACTGCAAGCACATCCAGTAAAAATATAACCTTTAACTAACTTGTTTAGATTTAGGAGGATGACAAAAACAAAGGCTGTGTGTGGAAATTCCAACTAGTATAGGTACTTGAATCTGTCTCTTTTTTAGCTTCTTGGTGCCCTCCTGCAGCAGGAAGGAGAGGGAGGAGAGCAGCAGTGTGAGGCAATCAGGTTCAACTACATTGACAATGCTGTCAGTCTAACACTGGCAGACTGATGACAGGAGGAGAGAGCAACAGAAGAAGAGCATTGACTTTATCAGTGTGGTGATGCATCTTCATTATCTAATCAGCAAATCTTTGACTAAGCTGTATTGTTTCACTGCAGTTAAAATAAAGAGGTCCCCTAGTTAATAATGCTGTCTGACAGGTGTGTCAGGATTACAGCATTGGCTGTTCAGAATTAAAAATCATTTGTTGGGCACAAAAGCTAAGTATTTGATGACTGTATGGAGTTATTTAGAATAAGAAAAATATTGTTAGTGTGATATTTTTCCTGTAATAAAACACTCAGCAATTTACGTTGATCTATTTTGTAACCCCTGGTAAGGGGTGATCACACTGCAGTCAGAGAAATGATGCATTGGATTAATTGAGCAATTGCAGCAACCTTATAATTGTAACTATGACAGATTAAAAGATTACAGCGTGTCAACGTCAGAGGCTGCAAGGCATGCCTGTCAATGATCTGTCTTCTTCCATTGTTACATGCACAGTGAGATGAGCTTGTTTGTATGCTGAATGGATACTGTTGCATAGCTATAGGGGAATCCCTCGAAGGACAATGTGAACTAATGACTCTGGCATGTATAAACCATGATCCTCGCTGTATATTGGAAGCATTGAAAATGTTGTAGATTACCAGATTTCTAGTTTTAGACGTTTAGATATTGTCGTGGCTTGTAAAGCTGACTCCAGGCGAACATAAGACACAAATTAATGCAACTTTGTGTTCATTAATACATCCTTACATTTACTTTTATAATGCAAGATTTGAATTTGACTTAGTAGCTGGGTCTTGAAGACTCTGTGCTGCAGAACTTAGTCTAGGGAGGGAGAAACAGCACAAGGAGCAAATCAGTTGTGCTGCAATTCAAGGAGTATGCTGATATCAGTGGAGAGCAGTGTGACAGAAAGATACACTCCCCAGCCAGTTGCTAGTACTGGGTTGGACCCTTTTTTGCCTTCAGAACTGCCTTAATTCCTTGTGGCATAGATTCAACAAGGTGTTGGAAACATTCCTCAGAGATGTTGGTCCATATTGGCATGATAGCATCACGAAGTTGCTGCAGATTTGTTGGCCGCACATCCATGATGCGAATCTTCCGTTCCACCACATCCCAAAGGTGCTCTACAGGATTGAGATCTGGTGACTGTGGAGGCCATTGGAGTACAGTGAACTCATTGCCATGTTCAGGAAACCAGTTTGAAATGATTTAACCTTTGTGACATGGTGCATTTTCCTGCTGGATGTAGCCATGAGAAGATGGGGACACTGTAGTCATAAAGGGATGGACATGGTCAGCAATAATACTCAGGTAGGCCATGGCATATAAAAAATGTTCAATTGGTACTAAGGGGTCCAAAGTACGCCAAGAAAATATCCCTCACACCATCAGCCTGAACCGTTGATACAAGGTAGGATGGATCCATGCTTTCATGTTGTTTACGCCAAATTCTGACCCTACCATCTGAACTCGAGACTCATCAGACCAGGCTTTTCCAATCTTTTATTGTCCAATTTTGGTGAGGTTGTGTGAATTGTAGCCTCCGTTTCCTGTTCTTAGCTGACAGGAGTGGCACCCGGTGTAGTCTTCTGCTGCTGTAGCCCATCTTCTTCAAGATGCTGTGAGTTCAGAGGTTGGTTGTAAGGAGCATTATTTGAGTTGCTGTTGCCTTTCTATCATCTCAAGCCAGTCTGCCCATTCTTCTCTGACCTCTGACATCAACAAGGCATTTTCGTCCACACAACTACTGCTCACTGGATATATTCTCTTTTTCGGACCATTCTCTGTAAATGCTAGAGATGGCTGTGCATGAAAATCCCAGTAGATCAGCAGTTTTTGAAATACTCAGACCAGCCTTTCTGGCACCAATGACCATGCCCAGGGGCGGACTGACCATTTGGAAACTCAGGCACTGCCCGTGGGCCCGGGGTCAGTAGAGGGCCCCATGAGATGCCCCTGGTACCTTTATCATAGGCTTTTTTGAGTTTGGGCAAGGACACAGGGGCCCCATGATTCCCCGTTGCCCGGGGCCCCATGAGTTGTCAGTCCCCCCTGACCATGCCACTTTCAAAATCACTTAAATCCCCTTTTTTAACCATTCTTATGCTCGGTTTGAACATAAGCAAGTCACCTTCACCACGTCTAGATGCCTAAATGCTGCTGATTAGCAATTTGTGTTACCAAGCAATTGAACAGGTGTACCTAATAAAGTGACCAGTGAGTGTATATATGTTCTGCTTTCCTTTTCACAGTCCATATACAGTCTATTGACCTGGAACTGTACCTGAAAAATCAGGTCCCCTGACCTGAGATTTGTAGAATGAAACATCTTGTGTTTTAAGGGTTACATGCAAGAACCTCTAGAAATCTGTTTATCAGGCTAATCCAAGAGAAATACTGATCTCTGGCTGATCCACCATCCCCTCTAAACCACAGGAGCACCACTCTCATGCGGGAACATGCAGGAGTAATTAAAGTATTATTAAACCCTTTAGAGTTTTTAAACTTAACACACTGAGACAAAAAAATAAACATCCCCAAGTAAACTATTTGTTAAAATTCTTACCCCAGCACTTGCAGTTCACAGCTTTTAGTGCTGCTGGCTCCTGCTCTTAGTGCGGCTTCCCCGAACTTCCAGTCTTCATAGGAAAGAGTTAGCAGTGGACAGGGCAATCTCCAGGTAGTCTGTTAGCTTGGAGAAGGGAGTGACTTGCCATCCTAGACTACAGGGCTGCGTGTTTCTTTTGATGCACACAGCGTAAGTAAATACAGCTCTCGTCCCTGCATGCAAGAGTGGCTCCATGCTGCAAGAGAAAGGAGGCACCCTAAAACAGAAGACTTGGGTCAGCTGTCATGGCACCAGCTTAACCTCTTGGTGCCGCTGCACGCAAATGTGCGGCATCCCAGCGTCCGGGCCTCGACGCCGAACAGCCGCACATTTGTGTGCAATTAAGGAAAACATATGTGCTGAGAGCACGCGCCCTGTGTGCTCCCAGCACACATGTCCAGTACTCACGGAAAGGTCCCATCATCTCCTCTTTCGATCGGGACCTTTCCCGATCATGTGACCGCCGTGATGGCGAATCACGGCAGTCACATGACCCTAAAACTCCGCCCTGCCTCCCGGCTTCTGAAACCCTTAAAGGACCGGCGCCAAGGGGTTAAACTGGAACCTCACAAGGATACTCAGTAAGTGATTAAATCAGGTGCTGAAAGTGTTTAATGAAACCAAGAGTATAACCACTTCCCCCCCGGCCCATTGTGCAATAACTGCCAGGCTGGACCACTCTTGTTCTGACAGGATGTCATATGATGTCCTCCCATTGTTGTGGCGATGGGTGGTGAGCTGTGCCCCTTGGACACAGTGCATCACCAATCAGGGTAAAAAGCCAATGGTGTTGGCTCTTTGCCATGTGCAGCCTCATTAGTGCCCATCAGTGCAGCCTCTTCAGTGCCCAGAAATGCAGCTTCTTCAGTGCCCATCAATGCAGCCTCATCAGTGCCCATCAATGCAGCCTCATCAGTGCTCATCAGCGCAGCCTCATCAGTGCCTATCAGCGCAGCCTCATCAGTGCCTATCAGCGCAGCCTATCAGCGCTATCAGGCTCATCAGTGCCTATCAGCGCAGGCTCATCAGTGCCTATCAGCGCAGCCTCATCAGTGCCTATCAGCGCAGCCTCATCAGTGCAGCCTCATCAGTGCCTATCAGCGCAGCCTCATATGCGCACATCTGTGAAGAAGAAAAATTACTTATTTACTCCAAAGACATGCTGATAGGTTAATTGGATCCTGTCTAAATTGTCCCTAGTATGTGTATGTATGAATGTGAGTTAGGGATCTTAGATTGTACGCCCCTTGAGGGTTAGGGACTGATGTGAATGTACAATATATATATGTAAAGCGCTGCGTAAATTGACGGCGCTATATAAGTACCTGAAATAAATAAAATAAAAATAAAATAAATTTGCTAAATTTTCCAACAGAAATTAAGAAAAATGTTTGTGTTTTTTAATTTGCTTTTTCCCTTTGTTTAGCAAAAAATAAAAAACCCAGTAGTGATTAAATACATCCAAAACAATGCTTTATCTGTCTAAAAAAATGATAAAAATTTCATTTGGGTGCAGTGTTGCATGCCCGCACAATTGTCATTCGAAGTACGACAGTGCTGAAAATTGGCCTGGGCAGGTCACTTTAAGCAGCAAAGAATCATGTGACAGGAAGCTGCAGTCCACCAAAAGCCTAGTGAGAAGATTGTTGAATCTAGCAGCCCTGAGTTTTATTGAACTCAGATTTCAAATAAATTGAGTCAATTGAATGAGTTTTCTGCCTTTAGCACAGCTGCACAGTTTCCTGGATAGCGTTAGCAGTTGGCGGATTGATTTTACTTGATGTCTGGAAGAGCTCTTTAATTATTGTCACAGACAAGGTACAAGAGCCTGAGCTGTATTTACATGTGTTGTGATTGTCTATCCATCCCCTCGCTCTATAAAAACATCTTTAGTCAACTTCCTCTGCAGCGTCGATCTACCGTTCTGCTAACTGCCTGGGCGCCTGCCAAACATTATTTATTGACTCTGCGCAGTTATTGGATGATACCATAAAAACAGCAATTTAAGTATAATGAGGCTCAACTGCTTCCTCTCCATCTCTGTGCAGACGCCTCCTCTCAGGTGTAGCCACCCCCGATGGATTATATTGATTTGTTTTTGGGATATCTAATAGCTTTTACATCTGTAATGGACTTTGTCCTCCACAGCAGATCAGAACATATCAGGCTGGACATAGAAGATTTCTTCATATATGTAGTGCGGTAGGACAGTTATTAGTCCTATGTCTGCTACGTATTTACGTATTTACAAGGCATTCTGGGATATATTGGCAATCACTTGCCCCCCAGAGGATTTACCCCCGCCCCCCCCCCCCCCCCCCCCCCCCCTTCCTGACCAGGCCATTTTTTCAATACTGCGCTGCGTTACTTTAACTGACAATTGCGCGGTCATGCAACGCTGCACCCAAATTAAATGTTTGTACTTTTTTCCCCACAAATACTGTAGAGATTTCTTTTGGTGATATTTGATCACCTCTGCGGTTTTTATTTTTTGAGCTATAAACGACAAAAGACCGACAATTTTGAGAAATAAACAATATTTTTGACGTTTTGCTATGAAACATGTCCAGTAAAAAAATTTAAAAATCAAATTTCATCATAAATTTAGGCTAAAATGCATTCTGCGACATGTCTTTGCTGAAGAAAATCCCAATACGTGTAAATTAATTTGTTTACGTGAAAGTTCTAGCGTTTACAAATGGTGGTATATATATACTGGAATTTATTTTTTTTTTTATACAATAATGGCGGCAATCAGCAACTTATAGCGGGACTGCGGCGGGCATTCTGATCCTGAAGGGGAACTTACTAATTGTTGCAGATATCTCCAGTGACACTAATACAGTGATCACTGCTAATAAAAAGCACTGACACTGTACTAATGACACTGGGCAGGAATGGGTTAACATCTGGGGCGATCAAAGGGTTAACTGTGTTTTCTGTGTTTCACTGTATAAGCACATTGCTTTGTATGGTTGTGCTATGCAGAGCCATACAAAGCAGTGTGCAGGAGCTAACAGGGGAGAAATATATATTGTTTACATACAGACCACTCCCCCTGCTAGGTGATCGCCAAGTGTCGGCGTGGAATCACCGCCTGGGACCCGGTTTATCAACAGCTGAGGCCACCAATGGCGGGGCGCGGGTAGGGCGTGCCCATAAATGCAAAATCATATATATGTGATTTTGCGCAGCCCTGCACCATTATTTCTACTATAGGGCAGGGAAAGCAATTTAACTTTAGACATGCAGTGGGGGGTAGAGGACAAAAATACATGGCTGAACCACGTTTTTTTAGTGGCCCCAAGCCCCCAACTGCAATTGCACTGGATGTGGCTGTTTATATGCCGAGGTTGTGCCCGTGGTAAAAATTACCTAACATGTCATGATCAGCATCTGGAAATGTGTGCAGTTGCTGTGTATTTGTTGGTAAAAATGGATTAACACAAGTGGTGAGGAGGCCTCACATTACTTCCTCACCACTTGTCAATAACCTCTGAAATGTAATCCAAATATGAATCACTCCTCAGAGGAGCGGCAGATTTAGATGCACATCTAAATCTAGCGTTAGGACTCATTTATAATCAGGAAGAGGGAGAAAGGACCGCTCTGACTATGCTTCAGGTTGTAATTCCCAATTGTTTTATCCTGTTTCTTTAAAAATCTTTGTACATTTAGTCTGTATTAATTCCCTAGGATCATTTCAGAGATCCCCATCTGTATTCATTTCCTTTATGCCTGTTTCTACAATTCATTCTGCTCCCTCAATATCTTCCTTTGTTGCCACCCATTCAACTGTGCTGAGAGCAGAGATCACGATGAATCAATCAGAGTGAAAGAACACATCCCTAGTATCCCTTCAGATGAGCATGTTCCTCCTTGCTGACCATTGGATAGTACAAACTGTAGCTGTGTTGAGCTAACCATTTGCTTGATTACGGTTCCAAAAGCATGTGTGAGAATCTAATCAAGCAACTGATGGCTAGACTGCATAGGTAAAATCTACACAAGCCTTTTTCAACCAGGGTGCCATCTTGGTTTGTCAAAGGTGCCACAGCATCCTGCAGGGTTAAAAAGTTTAGGCAGGGAAGTGCTGAACTGTTAGCAGGCAGAGTGGGAGCTCAATTAGGGCAACAGTAGTGGGTAGAGCCATGGGTGGGGGAGGCTGCTTCCTGAGTCCCAACCTGCTCCACTATGCAATACTGCATAAACAAACATTTCACCCATCCCTGCGGGTGCTGATCATGAACTAGAAAATGAATGTTAGCCAAGTGGAGAAGTATCTAAATCAGCCAGATACAGTAAATCTGCATTTTTTTTTTAAAGGCTATATCAGGGGTGGACTGACAACTCATGGGGCCCCCGGGCAATAGGGGGTCATGGGGCCCCTGTGTCCTTGCCCAAACTCAAAAAAGCCTATGAAAAAAGTACCATGGGAATCTCATAGGGAACCCTACTGACCCCAGGCCCTCAGGCAGTTTCCAAATGGTCAGTCTGCCCCTGGGCTATATGTATGTGGGTGTGAATGTATGTATGCGAGTTTATGTGTGTGTGTATGCATGTTTGTATGTTACTTTTACTCCTGAACCCTATACTCTGTGCGATACACACTCCTGACACCTATACTCTGTACATTACCCTAACTCCCTCACCCCTACAATCTGTATGATCCTTTTAGCACTGACCCTGTACGTTACACTTTCCTGACCCCTGCACTCTGTATGATCAGGACTAGTTTTCTAATCAAGCAGGACTACTTTTTTAGAGATTGAGATTTTACATACTTTTAAAAGGTGTCGTGACTAAGAAAAGGCTGAAAAATGCTGGACTACACTATCTAGTGGCCAGTCCCTTCTTGACCATCCTTGTCTAAAGGGTGCCAGGGGATGTGTTCCTTCACTTTTGAAATCAGCAAGAAGCTGATGTATTATTCCCACCTCCCCTGCTGGTTCTTAAACTGGTATGAATAGCCAGAGATACTAAAAAAAACGCACAGGAACAAACTGAGGATAAGCACACATTTTCAAAGTTAGAAAATATGTTTTCACAATGCTAATACAGCATTTTGAGTCAGTGATAAATGTTCTTTATTAATACTTAATGTAATGAATGTGACTTTAGTACTTCTTTAATTTCAGCTTGTAGCAGAATTTTAGGGGGCAATAATTCTACACTACTAAGACAGCTAAGCATATGTTTCTCAATGCCCAGAGGGTGATCTGTACCCAGTGACAACCCTGAGGCCTTACTCCAACTCTTCTATACAGCAAACCACACAGTGTAGTTTACCTTTAAAGTCTTCCCAGTGGGGCCCCCATCCTAGCCCAGGACCCAAAACAGCCTGTAATGGCTGTTGTTGTTCCACTGGTGCAATGTGCATAGTGATGCAAGGTTTCTACTTTCTGTTAATGATTCATGGCGGCCATGTTCTTCATTGTGTCTTCTAGACTGAATTCTTTCTTTGGCCATTGGGCAGTTAATGGTGATGTAGCTCCCATGCATGCACGCCAGGGCAGGGGTGGACTGACAACTCATGGGGCCCCCGGGCAATAGGGCATCATGGGGCCCCTGTGTCCTTGCCCAAACTCAAAAAAGCCTATGAAAAAAGGTACCAGGGGCATCTCATGAGGCCCCCTACTGACCCTGGGCCCTCGGGCAGTGCCCTAGTTTCCAAATGGCCAGTCCGCCCCTGCGCCAGGGTTACATTGTTACGGCACTCGCCTAAATTCTCTTGAAAATTGCTAGCAGACAGGTAAAAAGGTTTCTGTATAAAAAACATAGAAAGTCTTCTCCACCAAAAAATTCCACCAGCTTGTGGAGACTTCAGTTCCACTTGTTCTTACGTAACATCCAATGTCACAATCTAGTCCAGAACTTTGCAGTTTACGTTAAAAATGACAGGAAATAAATTCATGCTATATTATAGGATCCCTTTACTGACGTCAGCAAGCAGAGTCACACAACAGGTTGGCTTGGGTTCTGCACGTTTTCTTTTGTGAGTAAGTCTACACCTCGGCTCCTTGACACTTAACACATATCACATGTGTACACAGAGCATTGTTCACTTGTCACACAACTATTTGCCGGATGAGGGGGGGGAGAGAGATCTTTTATACTCTGTGAGTGACAGGGCTCTCGGCAAAAAGTAACTGGGAACTGTTTTTTTTTCCCTTTCCTCTACTGCCCTGAAGCTTTTCTCAAGATCAGTCATTGAGATATAGTCAGGTAAGTATTCCCATCCCCAGAGCTTAAACTAAGGATATTTGTTCTCTGGTGAGTTTCAAATTACTTCTCAATCACCAATATCTTTGGCTGAATATCCATTTTTATTGTGAGAGTGTATACGGTGATATATACAGGGCTTGAAAAAGCCGCTCGCCAAATGCGAG